TTCAATGTTTTTGGGGTCCTTTTTTGTGAAGAGGAGAGTGTCATCTGCAAATAGAAGGTGGTTAATTCTCACCAATCCACAATTTGAAACATAACTGTCCTCTTGATGACAAGAAAATGAAAAAAAGGTGAGTAGCCCACACCTTCGACAGAAGCACTTCTGCCTAGTAGGCATTGAAGGACCTATACTTCCATTTAACGGCCACAAACTAATGGAAAAAAAAAATATTTGCAGTAATGAGGATATTTTTAGGATGATTATCTTTCTAGAGAAGTTAAGCAACAATGTTATGGATGAGAGCTACCAGATTTGGAAAGCCGGGAATAATATGGCGATGCCCTGGTTGATTAACTCAATGAAAAACGAGATGGGTGAAAATTTTCTTTATCAAACTGCGGAAAAAATTTGGGATGCTGGAAGTGAAACCTCCTGATCTTTTGAGATCCAGGGAAAGCTTCATGCATGACCTAAGAAAAGTGAAATGGCAGTATCAAAATATTTTAGTATGCTAACAATGAACTCGCAACAATTTGATCTTTATGAAAATAATGATCGTTAATGCTCAACTGATGCAACCCATCACAAGAAGATTGTGGAGAAGAAATGGACTTTCAGTCTTACTGGATCCCGACAAGAACTAGGATGAAGTTTGAGAGTGCAATCTTGGTGTGAAGCCTCTTCCCAACATTAGAGAAATTGCTGCTGAAGTCAATAGAAAAGAGAAGGAATAGAAAAGAGAAGGAAATTGATGCTTTTTTCCTTTTTTTTGAGAAGAAAGGAAATTGATGTTAGGTCCAACCATAATCACCTTTGATAATTCAGACCAGACAATATGGAAATTGAAAGGGGAAAGTTTGGAGCGAACATGTAACAGATAGAACTCATCTTCTATTGAAGAGGATGTTTCAGACAACTTGAAAGTTAGATCAGCAGCTGTGATCTAGGACTTCTCTCTCCTAAAGTAAATGCAGAAGATGAAATAAGAAATTTTGAAGAGTTTTAAAAAGTTAAAGAAGTTGAATGGGTCCTATGTTCAAATGACATTGCAGCAGATTCTTTAATTCCTTCTCAGAAGCCTCCTATTCTGAATGAATCCAATCAGAATTTTATCCATTCCCCTTACAAACATTCTGAAGTTCTCATAGTTTATTCATATGGTGGATTACAAGTTTATGAAATTAACTCCAAAAATCAGTAGAACAGCAATGTTCTGATGTTCTTCTCATTCAAGAGTCAAAATTTGCAAAAGCTGACAAGAGAATGTCTAAATCATTATGGAGTTTCAAAGATATTGGGGGGTTGAAGCCATTGGCAGATATGGAGGTCTTTCTTACCTTGTGGGGTGAGAACAAAGTTTGTGTTTTAGAGATAGGAGGTTCTGGTGGAATGAATTGTGCTCAATGTGATTAAACAAAGGCCTCCCGATCTGAATCGTTGATTATCATAAATTTGGATTGGTGTTGCAATACATTGAATATTTCTGGCACCAGGGAAGTGAGAGAAGATGACTGATCTTTTTTTAATGGTTCCTCTTTTATGACAAAATTTTCATGGTCGGCCTTATACCACTGATCCAATTTTGGCAACTATTGATGGTCGTGAGTCATGTTGAGCCTCAAATTGTATTAATAAGGTAGACCTCTGCATTATGGGTTTTTTGTTAAGAAAGTTATTGCAAATTTTTGCATGAAGAACATTTAATAGTTTTTTTGCATGAAGAGGTCATTAATTCGGGAGTTGTTAGAGGATTCCTTACACGAAGAATTCCTTAATTGGGCAGCCATGGCCCTTTTGAATTCAAGGGGTTCTAAAGTATCAAATTCCCCCAAGAAATTGGTCTGTTACTAAAGATTCAAGAAGAAAAAAAGGGTTCAGTCTTGCGGACATTCTTTTTCTAGGAAGTGTAAAAAAATTTTCGTTGACAAAAGAATGAAGTTGTTTTGAAGATTGAAGAAATTTTCATGATTTTCCTATTAACCATCTGAAGAGTTGGTTGAGCTTGAACGGAGCAATTTTGGTTGTTTCGATTCGTTGCTTTGTCAAGATATTATGCATTTTGCTCTTCAATAGTTTATTCTTTTGTAATCTGTTTAGTACTTTTTCTCTCTCTTTGGGGTTTGTATCTTTGAACATTTTTCTTCCTTTTCATCTATCAATGAAAAGTTTGTACTTTTTATTAAAAAAAACTGTTTAGATAGTAGAAAATTGCTATGATATTAAATAATAGAGTCTATGTGTTGAAACTCTTTGAAGATTTCTAAAACAATCTTTACTCAATACCAAAAAGATATGGGAATTGGAGAGCTGATTACTACATATATAAAGGCAGCCACCTAACCAACTATTAACAAACTAGTTAAACAACTAAACTATAAACTATTTAACAGTTCAAAAAACTAATTATAACTATTCACTAACTACTTGAACAAAAGAGATAAAACAAACTCCAAGCCTCTGATAGTAAACGTAAGGAACACTACTTTTTTTTTTCTTTTGATAAGAAACCGAGACAAGTGAAAATAAAATCATATGAACAAGGAACACTACATTCTACAACATTAACTCCTATCTCCGTACATAAACATGGCTTACAGGGCCACATGTCCTGCAAATTGCTGCCCATGAACAGGACTAGGTACGTTAAAGAAAAACAAACGTTGGTCTCCATGAAAACTAGAAGCCATCTTGAAGAGATGGATGCATATCATAAATATAGCTGCAATGTTTTATTTAATATTCCCTATGTACAATAATTACCTGGTAAACAAAGACTTTCACTTGGAACTTTGAAGATCTACTGGACTAAGTCAGCTGAAGTACTTTTGGGTACAACCACGATCAATTAGCTGATGCACATGCTCCTCCAGCCTTAGAGAGCAGACAAGTTTTGCCTTCTCTCTTCCCCATACAAGGGAAAAGAACCTAGAGAATAAGTATCCTGACCCACTCTCAAACGCCATAGAGTGGCAGGAATGTTTTGACGAAGGAGTATGCTAGTGCCCCAGAAAAAATGTAGCTGTCCACTCTGTCAAGTAATCCACCTGCATAATTCTCCAAGGAGGTCCAAATAATAGTCAAAACATTTCTAGAATTGAAAATGTTAACAGGTATTATTACTCTTCGAAAAAAATCTTTCTTATTAAGACAGGTAAATTCAAGTACCCCTAGGCCTTCAACTTTCCAGGGGTGAGTTTATGCGGTTTATAGTTTATTCTAATTAAGATATGAGCACTAAATCCCATTTATATATCAGAAAGAAAGTAATTTCGATGCATTAACACAACAGAGGTAAATGGTCCCTAAAAGAAAATATGAACAATATATTCTCCATACGTACTGAACATATTGAACACAAGAAACAATTTTGCAGCAAGAAAAAAGAAAGATAGCCTTTTTTGGGATGAAAAATCAACTTTTATTTTTTATTTTTAACAAGAAACAAGCTTTTCATTGATAATATGAAAATGAAGAAATGATGGGAGCTACGGGTGCAGGTATTCCTGTCAAATTTGTGCTATAAGAGACAAGAGGAAGTGAAAAAAAGAAGAAAAACAACCAAACAAAGGAATCAAAATACAAGGTAATAGACAAGATCAAGACATATCAGAAAGCTAAAAGAAAGGAGGCTGAAAAAACTTTTTCCAACAAAACCTGCCAAACCAAAATGACTATATGCTGAGGAAAAGACTCTGATGAAAATGTCAACTTTTATGAAAATGAATTATGGTACAAAAAGCAGCCCATACAACAAAGAAGGCCAGCCAAAAGTGGGGCATACAAAATGCAAAATTAAAGATCTTGTAATGAGAAATAAAAATATAGGACAATTACCAAAAAGATCTTGTATGAGCTCAAAGGGAAACATTAAGGTGTGCCAATCCCAACACTTCTTCCCACAAAATAGAGAAAAAGCTACCTTGCAAAAGCACCTAGCCTTCCCCCCAATAGGGGATCCAAAACAATACCCCCAAACATCCTTGAGTGCTTGGCCTTTGAAACAAAAAAGTACCAGAATCATGCCATAGCAACCCTACACTATGTATAAGATCCTCCGCGTCACAAGACACTAATTTGGGCCAAAAATAAAAGTGGAGGCTCTCTACAGGAAGTGGATGGTCCATAGTTTTTCCCAATTCTCTGCAAAAGGGACCTAACTTCAAAATCTAATTCACTGGGCGACCCACCCACTAACCCTTCCAGAAAATAACTCTCATGACAAACCTAACCATTTTACTAAACCCCTATAGTACACCAACCAAGTTGAGGCAGTCAAAAACTTCACTAAAAATGCTATTTTAAAATTATATGGAAGCCAGTCAAAGATGACTTGATTTATACATGTGCCATGAAACAAGAATTTAATGCATCATAGATCTTGACCATAAGAAAATGGAATTTACCATGTCCAGGGATTAAAGATCCAGAATCCTTGACACCAGCATCACGTTTTATCATTGATTCAGTAAGATCACCAAAAACAGAACCCAAGAAATTCAGAAACCCAAAAGCTATAGCACTGTTCCAGTAAAACATTCCAAACCCAAGTCAATTATTTTACAGAACCATGGAGATCATCAATTGAATAAGACGTGTTCATGATGGGCAATTAGAGTGTAAAACTCCACTTGATTAAAAACACTAGCCAGATAAGATCAAATTAACTAGTCTATTGAAACTCATGCTCACTGAACACACACACACACACGCACACACATATATATATATATCGCATTTACAAATAGAACAAAAACTTACAAAAAATTTTCAGCATGAGCCTAAATGCACACGTCTTATTGCAGCATGAAGAATCTGTATTATGCTTGGAGGGAGAAACTTTTGAATTCCTTTCTGGTCTCTCATAAATTATGCCTATTTTCATTTTAACCTTGCTTAAAATCTTACAAAATTTCCCACCTTTTAAATTTAATTATCAATTCTTATTTTACAAATTTAATAATCAAAATAAATTGAAGCCCCTCTTAAATTCACTTAAGATCTTAAAGAATGTCCCTTTTAGATTCATCAATCGGACCAATTGACCACGCTTAAATTGCAAAGAAACAAATCCCACCTCCTAAATTTTACTTTATAATTTATATTTTAAAAAGGGCCAAAGCCATAAACTTAGTAGTTGCAATTGAAGAATTACATACCTAATCACAGAAGTAGGCCAGCAAAGAATTTTTGATAGAATGACAGACGTAGCTATACAACCACCCAAGCCAATAATAGTTCCCTCCCACGTCTTTTTTGGACTAATATTTGTAAGTGGGGTCTTACCAAATGCCTGCAAGAAAGGTAATGAGAAAGCATAAAACCTCCACTCAAGGGCACAAGATATTTCACCAAGTTTACCGGTAGTTTTCTATGCTTGTTTTGTAGGTACATTAAAAAAGCAATAATAATAAAGCTAAGTAGTTACTCAAGGCTGCTACAATACTAAATAACATCAAATCTGATAAGAACTCATATAAAAATTCTAGCGAATTGGAATTAAGAACCATATGAGTATGTGAAACCTTAATTCTCAAATACTAGAATCCTCAAGTCGATTTGATTTCAACTCTAAGGTTTAAGTTGGACATGGATTGTGATGTAGAGGTGTTTTTATAAGACCCCTTGAAATGCTTGTAAACTACCATTAGAGTTAGTTGTTTCTTTTATAGCCGTCGGGAGCTTTAATAGCCGATGGTGGCTTGAGAGTTAGTTAATTAATTAGTTGGGTGTTAGCTATGTTTGTCTATTATAAAAAGTCTAGCCGTTGGTGGCTTGTAAACTAGCCATTAGAGTTAGTTGGGTGTTACCAAGCTGAATTCACCTACAATCGCCTGCGCAGCTGATCAACTGGAAAGTCACCATTTGAAATAGTTTATACTAAACTCCCTGGAGTTTAACGATTGATCTTACTAATATTGTAGTAGATCCAGTTAGAGATGAAGAGATGGCTGATTGTATTCAAGAACTACACAAAGAGGTCAAAGAACACATGGAACAAGCAAATGCCGAGTACAAGCAACATGTGGATGCTCACCGGCATGTGAAAGCCTTTGAAATAGGCGACTTGGTTATAATTCATTTGCAAAAATCAAGATTACACCGATCACATAACAAATTAACCAATAAGAAGTTTAGTCCTTTCAAGGTCCTTGACAAGATTGGGGAAAATACCCTTGACAAGATTGATCTACCCTCCTATCTCCAGATCAGCCCTACCTTCAATGTGGTAGATCTATATGATTATCGTGCATAATATTCATTTTCATTCACTACCTAAAACTCAAGGACAAATTCGTTTTGGGGGAAAGAACTTGATGCAGGGGTTTAATTAAAAAAAGAAAAAAAAAAACCCTTGAAACCAATCTCCCACATTGCTTGGTAAGACCACCATCCATCCAAAGATAGAGAATAAATGATTCCATATAGCCGATGAGAAAGGGCAATCCATGAAAATGTGTGCTTGCGATTCAAAGTCTGTCTTGCACAAACAGCTCCAAAATGGGAAGAGAGACCACCATGGACATCTTCTTTGCAGCTTGTTGAGAGTGTTGAGGCCAGTGTGGCTAAGTTCCCATATAAGGAACTTTACCTTTTTTTGGATATGTTACTTTCCAAATATGTTTGTATAGGCCATACTTGGGAAAGCGAAAGAAGACGAAAGAACTGGTTTATCAACCCCCAACCTTTGCAGACCTGAGATACTTCAAAACTCTTATCCTCAAACTTGCTTGGATTAATCAAACTCTTTGTTTTTTTTTAATAAATTCATCCAACATTTCCACAAAAATAATCCTCCTTTTCAAATACTATGGAGAACCAAAATACTATTTTTTTCCTCTCCATTGAAGGGAATTTTCCAAAGAAGAGCCAAGGATTGCTCCAACCGCAAGAATTATTTTGGAGACTTAACAAAGAAAGAATGATACTGCTTTTTCTCTTCCAACAAATAATAACCATGAGGAGAACGAAGAAAGAAGGATTTGTTGACAAGACAGCAACTACTCTCCTTTAAACATTTTATTGTTTCTTTTCATTTCATCGATGAAAAGTTAAAAAAAAAAAAAAGGAAATCAATGAAACATCTAAAACCATCGTGGACAAAGAACCTCAAGAGGAGAGAGGAGAGATCAACTTACTAAGCTCTTTTTTATTACTGCCAATTAATGATTTATTCCAGACATTTTAATTCTAGACGTTAAATTCCCCAATATTTAATATTCGTACCCATCAAATTATATCGAGATCCAAATGGGTCATTAATAGGTAATGCTTTTCTTTTCCATAGGGCTGACCGGTGCTCCCCCGAGGTGATAGTGTGAATTTGAGTGCTTTCTCAAGCTTGTATAGTTGGGTGCATATTTGCTTGGCCTAATTGAGCATACGGGGAATCTTGGGCTAAATAGATCACTATTGATCCCATTCCATGGTCTTCTCTAAATTGTTAGGCTTTAAGCAACGAATATCTACTCAAGTCATTGATACTAATCTATTTATAAACACACTCTTGGACACTTTGTCATAAAGATTTGGTTTCAGCACGGCTAGTTTATAACTTTTGATAGTCTGCCCCGGCCCCCCTTGCCAAAAAACATTTTTAGGCTCCTTTATTTCAAATTAATTGCTCCTCATGTTATGAAAACTCCTTGTTCATGCCTAACCTATATACCGACAAACCCTCCATCAAAACTCACCACAACTACCAAAAATTTCCCTATATAACATAATTGGTGAATCTCAAAAGATCTCTCCGCCCAAAACAATCAAGGGTTCCCTAGCCCAACTTTCCACAATAACTCACTCATTTACTAGCCTGAAGTAACAACTATTTACTTCCAAAACGTAATTACAAAGAAGTACCATACACGTAATGAAAGATAAAAAAGGAACAAACTTACCTTGCCACCAAGAAAAGCATACGTATCAGCTGCAATTATACTACTCATAGAAATTAGGGTTGCAACAAGGCCAACAGTCCAATGAGCTCGACCTCCAAGAAGAAATGGCCATGCTGCTCCTATTTCTGCCAAGGAGCATGATCTAGTAAGTAATAGTATAACTAGATAAAGACACCTAAAAACAGAAGCTACAAGAGCATAAAAATGTGAAATTACCAACATATCTGTGGAAGTTCTTACTTTACACTAAAAACTGTAAACACAATTCAAAAACTTGTACATGCAAGAAATAATTCGGACTACCCCATCATTCAATGTGTCATCCATAAAACACTTTTTTTTAGGGGCAAAGGTAAGACCCTAAAAGGTTGTCATTACAGTGTCACCAGCCTCATAAGAAGTGATGTAGTTGGCTTAGTTGCAGTTTATTCTTTTAAGGGATTAACTAGTTATATCTTCAGCTTGTTTAAGTTTAGTAGTTACTGCACAGTAACTGCAGATTGCATTATTCTTAAAACTCTTGCGCAAGATTGCATCAATTGGTATCAGAGCATCCAAATTTCTGGGTGATCGATGGCAGGAAAGAAGCTGATTATGGGTGATTCTTCCTTGACCAACAAAGCGATGGAACAAGTATCCGTCCTCTCACCACGATCAACGACCGTACACTTGCAGTCTGTCGAAGGAAACTTCCAGGTTATCCAAAGGGATGTGGCTGAGATTAAACAGATTCTGGAAGTCTACAACAAACTCCGACGAGAGATACCCCTCAAAATTCTGCAAGATTGGATCGAGAAACCCAGATGGAGGATCAAAGGACTAATTACCAGGAGAGGCACCCTGCACCACCAAGAAGAGTCCAAAAGTCAATCGTAGACCAAGAAACCTCCAAGACAGCAACCTTTTCATGAAGAATTCAATAGGAATCCTTTGTTTCAACGGCATCATGAGCTGCTAGTCGATTCCTCAAGTGAAGAGGAAGATGACTTCTTTGCATTTGAAGGAGGACGGCCAGGTATGCGACTAAATCCTAATAGGCCACAAGAAGCCAGACTATCACAAGAATTTCAGAAGAATTCTCAAGATGAGCCCATGGAAAGGGAGAATTTTTTTACTGGCCTCTGATTGTTTCCAAGGAAATTTCCCTCAGATAAGTTCAAATAACAAGGAAGATGAATTCCTTTTGAGTTTTGCTGATTATTTTGATGAAGGAGATGAAATTCTATTTTGTTTGGAGAAACTTTTCAGTAGAATTTGATAATGATCCTAAAGAAACTCGTGTGGCTAGAGTTGAGAAAGATTTGGTTGAAGACTTGAAGCTAATATTATTGAAGTTGGACACGCCGGAGAAAGTTCAATTTACCAACCTCAAGAATTCGAATCTGATTTGCTGCATGAAGGTCATGATGTGGTTGAATTGCAGTTAATTTCTTTGGAAAACCAAGATCTTGCTAGAAAACAATTGGGTTCTTTAAAAATTGGTAATATTACTGGTGGAATGGTTGAGGAATTCAGAATTTTCATTGAACTTCAAGAGCATAGGCTACAAGAGAATGCAAGAAAGCTCTTCCTTCCAAGTAGACTTCAAGAATGTAGATCCAAGAAGGAGAAAGATTCAATGTGTGGGAAAGTTGAAAACCAAACTCATTCAGCCAATTCAATTTCTAGTTATTCCAAGAAAATTTTGAGAAGTACTGGAATGAAGAAAAAGTTGGTAGTTTTGAGAAGGATTCCGTGAAAAAGAAAGCTGATAATTTGGAAGACTTTTGTCTCCACAAACTACTGCACCAAAATTTATTGGATTTAATTAAGTTTGGTCACTCTATCATTGTTTTGATGAGTTAAAAAAGGCATTTTCGATTGGAGTATTTTTGAACCACAAGAAGAAGCAAGTTTCTATTTTGAGGATTGTTCACAACCATCTAACTTCACTGCTTTTAAACTCGAGGACGAGTTCTATCTTTTGGGTAGGGGAAATTGATGTAGTCGGCTTAGTTGTGGTTTATTCTTATAAGGATTAGCTAGTTATATCTTCAGCTTGTTTAAGTTTAGTAGTTACTGCACAGTAACTTGAGTTTATCTTGTATTCCTAAAGCTGGAAGCCTCTACAAATAGGCTCTCCTTTAGTAATAAAAAGGCAGATTGCATTATTCTTAAGACTCTTGTGCAAGATTGCATCAAGAAGCAAATGCACATCATGATCCAGTCCAGGATTAGGAAAATCATGCATGTCTGCAATAAAAAGTCACGCTTAAAGATGGCAATGTTTGAAATCAAGAAGTTTTACTCCTTTAACTTAGAAAATGAATTTTTATACAAGAAAAAAAAATGCAAATCTATTCCTTTAATTTTACCTTCTAGTCCTACTTATCTTAAATAGGCTTCATCAGTTTTCTTTTAGAAATGCAATATAAATAAACTCAAACCACCATATGAATTATTTTCCTTCAAATTATTTAAAGGTATTTGATTTCCTTCATATGAATTTCTTTTCTTCAGATTATACAATGGTATAATGGTATTGGATTGTGATGATGGGCAACGTTACTTTTTTTTTTTTTTTGATATCCGTGTGTTCGGGTCAGCTTGCACGCACCTCGACTAATCACGGGCGGATATCTGTGCGTTCAGGCCAACTTGCACACACCTCGACTAATCACGGGTCAACCGTCCGACTCTACTACATTTGGTTGACAAGACAATCCGTAAGATATTAAATCCTAGGTAGGTGGCCACCATGGTTCGAACTCATTCCCTCCAAGCCCTTTTTGACCATTAGGTCATCCCATGATGGTTGGACAATGTTACTTTTTCAATGTACGAAAAACATTTTCATTTTTTAAAGGTGAAACATACTTTTTAATTTATGTAGTTAGCTCTTATATTCATTTGGTCATCATTAATTTATAATGATTTAATCATTATACTTTTAGAAATGTAATGATTTAATCTTTGAACAATTTGTTCCTTTTTATTAATCAATGAGAAGTTCGTATCTTGTTAAAAAAAATGTAATGATTAAGTCTTAACGTTAAAAATATCCTTTGGAAGTCCACACACCCCATTTTCACCCAGCAGAGACTAGAGGACTAATGATGTCCACTACAAGAATGACAAGAAAAGGAGAGAGAGAGAGTCGTGTTTGCCTAAGGCCATTGCAAGGATCTTGCCCTTGTAGGCCCTTGTATATTCTTTCATAATTCTCAATGAGAGCTCAATTTTTTTATTAACAAAAAGAAAGGAAAGAAAAAAATAGAGAGAGGAGGATAAGAGGTGCAGTATGATACAGGCAAGAAAGGCATATTATGAATAGAATGCTGATAATGATTTTCAAGCCTCTTTGGGAGAAATCCAACCCTCTCAAATGTCTACGAAACCGGATACTATTGACTCCTCCCAATGGCCTTTGTAGTAGGCAGGCAAATTCTAGATGCAATTATCCTAGCAGCAGAAACTGTGGATGACTATTTAACAAAGAAGAATAAGAAGGGCTTCATCACAAAAACTTCAAAGAGCCTATGACAAATTAGATTGGGATTTCTCGCACCTTAGAGGCTTTGGGGAGAGATGGAGAATGTGGATTTGCAGATGCCTTTCAAATACAAGTGTTCCAGTGATGATTAACAGTAGACCTAGAGGTAAAATATGGGCTTTATAGGGATTAGACAAGGAAATCCTTTTGTCTCTTTTCCTTTTCACAATCGTGGCCAACTCATTTAGTAGATTTGTTAACGTGTTCAGAGATAAGGGGCTCATAAATGGCTTCAAAGTACGATCAGGTTCATATCTCCCACATTAATATGCTGATGACACCCGTCTGTTTGGTGAAGGTTTCGCTTCAAAAGTAGAGGTTTGTCATAATTATCTGCACATTTTTTAAGTTGCTTTGGGGCTCTCCATTAACTTAAAAAAATCTGCCATCATTGGCTTAAATGTGCCAATGTGGACATCAACGAGGTCTTCAAATTAGCAAACCTGCTGGGTTGTAAGTATGCTTCCCTTCCTTTTGATTATTTGGGCATTCCACTAGGGGGCAAGGCAAAGTTTGAAAAGTTCTGGAACCCCGGTTACGACAAAATCAGAAGCAAATTGGCAAAATGGAGGAGTTTCCCGATCCCAAAGGGAGGAGAATCACCCTAATTAACTCAGTTCTGACTTGTTCTAGCTTATTTTCTCTCCCTCTTCAGAATCCCTGATGAAGTTAGCAAGACCATGGAGAAACTTTTCAGGAATTTTTTGTGGAATGGCAGTGAAGACAAAGGAGGGAGTCATTTAGTTAATTGGGGCAGAGTCACTTCCCCTTGTTTCTTTGAGGGCTGAGGGTAATGAGTCAGATAAAAAAAAAATTGGCACTCCTAGCAAAATGTCCATGGAGATTTGAAACAGAGGCAGCTGGTCTGTGGAAGGAGGTCATCAAAAGCATGTTTGGTTCTGACTAAATGAAAAGCCATCATAGTCATAAGCAGTGGACAAACTGATGTAGCCCTTGGAAGGATATAAGAAAAGGGACCCCTTTTCTTCTGCCAAATGTCAGTTTCAAGTTGGGGAGAGGCAACAAAAGTTTTTTTTGGAAGGACAAGTGGATCTACCATCAACCTCTCAAGGACCTTTATCTAAACCTGTTCAGAATCTCAAATTCCAAGGATTCTTGCATCGCTGATTCTTGGAATTCTGATTTTTTAAGTTGTGATCTACACCTTAGAAGAGGCCATTTTGATAGAGAAATGGCAGACGGGGACAGCCTTTCAGCCTTGCTTCTTGATGTCAGGCCAATTCAAAGTCCAGATTGTTTGGTTTGGAATTTGGAGAGCTCAGGACACTTCACTGTTAAATCAGCTTCGCTCCCGCTGAACCCTGAATTTTGTAACTTGACTTTGTAAAGAAATGCCCCAAAGAAGGTGAACTTTTCTTGTGGACAACAGTTTCAGGGAACATTAATACTTTGGATAATGTGCAGAGAAAGAACCCCCACTTACAAATTTCTCCTAAAATCTGCATTATGTGCAACAGGAACGATGAGTCCCTATCCCACCCCTTTATCCACTGCAGTTTCATTTCAAAGTGTGGTCCCACTTTGGTAACATATTCGGTCTTCAATGGTGCATGCCTAATGACTTTGAAGGTTGGTTGAAAGAAGCTCTCTTCTCAAAGACAATGCTAAAGTGCTGTGGGCAAATGTTGCTAAGGCAATAGTTTGGCTGACTTGGAAAGAAAGGAATGACAGAATTTTCTCCAATAAGGCAAATTCTTTTGATTACTTTTGTGAGTTTGTACAGTTTACAGCCTCTTTTTGGAGTGCTCAACACAAGTCTTTCTGTAACTAAACATCTATCATCGGTTTAGATTGGAAGGTGTTTTTGTATTCTTCCTTTTAGGGACACCTTGTCCCTTGGTTCCTTGGGCTGTTTCTTCACCGTCACGTTTTTTGAATGAAAGCAGTGTCTTGTTTCTTATCAAAAAAAAAAAAAGAAGAAAAGAAAAAAAAAAATCTACGAACCATATATCTTTTCATTAAAAAGCAAACAAGTACATATTCTTTCGCCTAGCTCCATCAAAGTGCTTTCTCATTACTTGCTGACAACAACTAATATTGAATATGGTGTGCATGTGATCTAACACATTTTTATAATTCAAAGCCTAAAAATGTATGAGCAAAAATGACTGACTTGTGTTTACGGCTGGAACTGCCAAACCACAACGAAGTTTGACCCAGAAACAAGGAAGATAACCACAGTAAAAAAGCCCAAATATTGCACTGCTCAGCTGAGCAAAACGGGGGCTCCCTCTTTGTAGAAGTAATGTTATTGCAAGAATGAAGGAAGAAAATGTGATAGCCACATCAAGCTGACCAAAGTACCTGCATGAAGATAAGAAACACTGATAAGAATTTAGTGTACATTGAAACTGTACAGATGGAAATTATGCCCGTAACAAATTTTCAAACACACACCAAATCAACCTCCTACTAAAATATCTTCATTAACTGTTTTGAACTGTGAAAACACAATCCAGTTCAAAGTCATAACCTTCCCATTATCATGATGAACCAGCATTGGCTAATTAGCAGCATGAAGAAATTTATTCTCTCTTTCCTCAAGAATAGCATGAAGAAAATTCTAAACATGGAATTATGCGCATAACAAATAAAAAAAATATTAGTAACAATAATGGATAAGCATATTAACAGGACTAGAAGTCCACAAATGGCAAATGAAAAACTAACAAACAAAAAGATTATGGATCTTGAGTAATTGGTAATTCCTTGGTTAAAGCAACCCTAAGAGATGTTAGAAAGTAACTTTCAATCACACTGCAGGGAATCTTCTCTTCTATCTTCAAATATCAGCAGATTTTTCTATACAGCACGGATTAGTTAAAGCATTTCTTTACAACACAACGTAATTGAAAATAAGGAAAATATATTTTCCAATTAAAAAAGGTGAAGATAAATTGATATTAGATATGACTATGCTGAATTCTGTAATATACAGCTAAAGCCACTGTTGTCATCTTTTTCAGCTAGCTTTGAAGCTATAAAAATGTTAGTAAAAGCCTGAGCAGCACACTTCATTCATATCCAATTACATCTGGAATTGGAGACCGTGATCAACACTGCCACTATGTCATGCAGACGTGATCCAGGCATTGGCTGCAAGGAAGCTTCGCATAAGCTTGATTGATTCCCGATCAGCAATCCAGTATTTAATGTATAAGCCAAAAGTGATTCCATGATGTAGTTAAGTAGCTCTTCATAGCTTTTCTCGATTATTAGCTACTGATATAGCTTTTATTTTAGTAGCTTTACTTTTACCGCACAGTAACAATAGTTACTCATGTAATTCTTAAGCTTGAAACCTCTATAAATAGGTTTCAGCCTTTTAATGAAAGGGCATTGAATCATTTCTTA